ATATATAATTAAATGATTAAATGATTGTTTCTTATTGAATTGCTTGAGTTCATTTAGCTATTCATGGGTATTTATGGAGTCCATCCTTTGTTCTGAGAACTGGAGATACAAGATTTAAGAAAACACAGCTCTGACCTCATGAGATTCCCTGCCTTCATAAGGGAAAATACATTGCAAGATACACATTACTGTGTATCTTCTAAAACTTTATTAGGAGTAGAGAAAATTTTCTACACCTTAATTTTAAGGTTGTAATTGAAATATGGTTTTGCTGTGTGATAAGGAAACCTGTTTGGTCCTTGAAAATTGTAGGAATTAATTAGATGTGGCTCATCAGGGAGATGTAGAGAGCATATCTCTACATGGAATAGCTTTCTGAAAAGAGAAAGGCCCCTACTAAGATTTTTGGCTCTTTTGTACCCAAATCCTAGTGATACCCTAGAGATTTCCTGTTGACTCATAGCCCAAATCTAAATATTATCTTGGACACTCACATTTGAAAAAAAAAAGACCTTAGAAACAGACAGGTTTTGATATTTCTTTTGGAAAGAGCACTAGAATAAAGGTTCTAAATCTTCTAATTGTCATTGCTGATGCAGCTGGTTGTAGAAATACAATAGTGAACAGGCAAGGACTGAAGTTTCCAATTACCAAACCTCAGAGAGATACTACACATCATATTTCTCCAAAAATATGGCTGCCAGAGCGTGTGATTTGATTCTGAAGACATCTATGACTAAATAATGCTGGTAATGGAAAGTGCTGAAAAGTTATAAATAAAATGTTAAATAATACAGTACAGCTAATTCCCCAGGTGTTGTTTCTATTCTCAAGTAAGGATTTACATGAACCAAGTGACAGCACACAGCTTTTCTGTGGGTGTAAATCTCTAGAGATAATGTTCACTCACATTTGCTTATGTCCTTTTACTCTAGTAGTTTCAATAACATTATTTCTTGCTTTGTCATTTCTCCAATCCATATCAATAGCCTATTCTTATAAATAATTCAGCATCTGTCTGGGCTTTGTTTGCAATATTATCTTACATGATGTTATGTATGAAGAGGGAGAAAAATGCAAAGCATTTTTGAAAGGCTAGTAATGCTTAAATATAAGAAAATAATGTTTCTTTCAATCTTTCGTGTTTGCAAAGTGGTTCTGCCACAGTTACCTCCAAACTTACACTAAAACTTTCTCTTCCAGAAAATCTGGTTTCATAGACTCAAGCCTGTTGTAAAATTTGATCTAACTGGAACCTGATAAGAAAGTCTAAACCAACCCTACGCACCTGCAGAAAGATCTACCACCATGCTTGTAATTTCTGGGAAGCTTACATCTATATGTATGTTGAAATAGGCTTCAAAGAAGGCAAGTATGATCATCTTGCAGTAAAGACATACTACAGAGACAAGCAGGTTTTTTTTTTCAAAAATAATTTGGGGATAACATTGTTAGAATTTCCAGGGCAATTCAGGGCTCAGAACTAGGAGTATGAGTTTGAGATACATTGTTGAAACATTGGTGCCTTACTTCCCACAATACATCCTACATATCCTTGGTGTTGTTGCGAAGCTCACCACAATTACAACAGACATCCAATCTTCCAGTTTCTAAACAGAGGAAGACAAACTGAACACTGAACAGAGTCCATTTTGGAGGCATTTACTTACACCTCTCTTAACAACCAATGACTAAGAATATAACTTTTCTAAATTAGGAAAGCCCACAAGAACCTAGGACAGGCATTGACTCAGAGCCTTGCTCTGTTCCTTCTGCTTGAAATGCTGTTCCCTCCCCACCTACACCCACCCTCACTTCCAATCTAATTTTAACCCACCCTTAGGGTCTCAGCTTTCCTGACAACTCAGAAAAGACAGGGAACCCAGTAATGCTCTCAGGATGCTCCCCATCTCTACTTTGTGGTATTATCTGTGTATGAGTGCGTGTAAGTGAGTGTGTGTGTGTGTGTGTGTGTGTGTGTGTGTGTGTGTTGTTCATTGTTGTTTGTTTTTCAAGTGAACATAAAGAACCCACTGAAAAGTATCACTGGAGAGCCAGGTTCAAGGAAGTCATTCAGAAAATATGTGAATGAATAAAATAATACATGTGAGTGAAAATAAAAGTTAACATCTACATGTTTGTTTACTACATGCTAAGCTCTGAGCAGAATGTCTTACACATGAGAATGAATGAAAGGATGACCACAAAAGCAAGCACTAAGAAAATTAAAAACACCTGAAATAACAGTAGATCTCAGAGCTATGCATCAAGGTTTTCTTTTTACATAAAATTTAAGGGAAAGTTTCAAAGTTCATAATAATGTTATTTACCTAATTTGTAGACCAGGAAGAAAGTAAAACTGTATAGGTAAACTGCTACCCTGAATGAAGCAGTAACAGTGGCCAGAGAAAAGATAGATAAGAGGCCCAAGATAAATGTACATTTTCACTCAGATTCTCATAAAAGGTATGTGACCCAAAAGGGCTAGAAATTAAATCTGTCTCTTCTATTTTGCAATTTGCATATTCTGCTCAATACTTTTTGTCCTCTTATTTTGTTATTAAATACTCTCTGCAACATCCTTTTAAATGGCTTTGAGAATCCTACTGTATGCATGTGTCATTATTTATCTAAAAATTCCCCTAATATTAGACATTTAGGTTTCTTTCAAGTTTTGGGCTGTTATCAATTTACAGCTACATCTCCACACATGTCATTGATTATTGGCTTTAATATATTGAAGAGATCAGTTCTATTCAAAGAAAACACAACTTCATACAGGATTATTCTACTCAGACCTGAGAAGAGAGGCTTTAATTCAAAGAGCACAAAGCTAACAAATTCTAAAAATTAACATTTAATTGCATTTTTATTTATTTGCATTGAATTGCTTCATCGTTTCTTCATTTTACTTCAATCAAAGCAGCAAAATGTTATCGATGCTAAATTGAAAAAAAATATGAACGTACCATCTGGAATGGCAGAATTTTGCTTCTATGAAAGTAAATAGTCTTGACTAAATATTTAAAATGCTCATCATGGTATTTCGGCTAATTCTGGGGAGTTTTTTAATGTATGCAGTTGACTGACACTCTTATAAAGCAGTTGTATGCCTCTCTGCTAGGTTTCCAAGAAAAAAAATCTCAAATTATCTACATTAGTAAGAATTTGTAAATGTCATATTAAATATTTCTTACCACCAGAAAGGTAAACCAGGCCATTTACTGGCTTTCCCGAGAAAAGTGCTTCTAAAATTAGCCTATAGCTGGGTGTACTATAACTTAAGGATGAAAAGAATCACTGATTCTATACACAACAGGATGCCAGGGCTGTATGAAGTTCAGCTCTGCTCCTTTTCCTGAAGGAGATAAAGTTCTTCCAAGTTTAATGCTAGAAATAAAAAACTGAAAAGCCACTATCATTCTAAAAGAAATTTTAAAGTGCAGGTGAATTTCAAGAGTCTCTATTTTTCAAATGCAACTGTATCTCAGGACAGCCAATGAGCTGTACTGAGCTTGGTCTAGGGTTTCTGTTTGTGATTATCATGCCTCTGTCAGGTTGGTCATCACATAAAAACTTTATTTTAAAAAGTGATCCTAAGCTCAGAAAACACTAGTCATCCCCAGCCTTTAAACACTCACCATGGGCTTTCATCTTCAAATGTATGTGTTTGCTGGGTAAATTATTTAATGGATATGACAAAGGTCTTGAGGCTGCACTTGGATCCCATATAACAAGGTCTGATGGTCAAATGATCCTGGGGAAGAAAAAAAAAAAAAAAAGCTCAGTAGACAGAGTTTGTCTCAAAAGTGTATCCCATTTTAAAATTTTGGACGATATCAGAAGAAGCAGAGAAGTGGGTTTAATAATCTCTCTTTCTGTTTGTCTCTCTATTTCTTTCTCTGTCTCTGTCTCACTCTGCCCCCCCATTGCTCTCTGTCTCTCTCAAAAGTTCAAGAATTTGCTGTTGTTCCAAAACCAGTAGTTCTCTTCCCTCTAGCCCACTGTTTAAAGTCCCTGGATCATGTTTTCAACAACACACAGAACCAGCAAATGCTTTGTGAAGAGTGATAATTGCTCAGATTGATGAAGGGAAGCATGAAGACCTACCCTTCCCTTTTCCTTGGGTACCAGTATTCTCTACCAGTGCTTTTCAGCTGTGCTGCTCACTCTTCCCAGCACACACTATTTAAGCTTCCTTTACTGGTACAGACTCTTTGAAGACCTTCTCTTTATATCCCTAAGATAATTAAGTATCTGAAACATTAGCCGCATCAATCAATGCCACTCAAATAGAAATTAAATTATCCCCGGCTTCCAGCCAAATGGAAGCTCTTTCCTTTAGTAGGACACACACACACACACACACACACACACACACACACACACACACACGAACAACAGAGTCCCAGGAAGCTGCTTTGCTACAAAATGGGAGTGGGGAGGATCCTAAAATGAAAACATAAGCCAAGGGGTTCAATAGAATGAGGTAACATTTTACTTTTGGAGAGCTGATTCCAGGCAAGGTAAACTTGACTCTAGCTTTGTTCACAGCACGAAGTTATATCATGGATAGGCACAGAGACCAAGGAAGATTAGACCTGCTATATGTCAGGCTCCTGAATGCATTTATCGAGAGCCCAAACACACAAATTTCTCTAATCATTAACGTTATTCCACTGTGGGAAGACTCATTGTTAGGTCAGATGCCATGTTTAATCAAAATGTTAAGTGTGCTTCTCCAATCTAATAGTGTAGATCTGTATGTGACCTTCACACATTCCAAGCCAGAGAGTGAAACATTAGTGGCCTAGAAGAGCCGTAACCAGTTATTTTAACATTGGTTGAAATAGTAGCATATTCTAAAGGCCAAGATAAAACTGTGCCATATTTCAATGCAAAGAAAGTAGAGTGGGCAAGGGTACAAAAGTACTCAAGAGTAAGCTTTGGCACAGAGAGAAGGAAACATGTAAGTGGAAATAACTGCATTCTTAGCATATAAAGGAAATACATAAATACCCATGTTTTGTTTGTTTGTTGTTTGTTTTTGATACCAGGGATCAGACTCTGGATCTTGCACTTGCGAGGCAGGCAGAAGAACCACTGAGCTAAATCCCCAGCCTTGCATACCCATGTTTATTGCAGCACAATTCATAATAGCTAAATCTTAGAAGCAGACCATATGTCTATTAACAGTTGAATGGATAAAGAAAATGTGGGATTTAAACACTGTGAAGTATTACTCCGGCATAAAGAGAGGAAAACTTGTGTCTTTTGTAAGAAAATGGATGTACCTCAGGACCACAATGTTAAGTGAAATAAATTAGACACACAAGTTTAAACAGCACATTGTTTCTCTTATATGAGAAACAGAGTAAAAATAAAGAGCAAAATAAAAGATAATATGCAGTAGGGAGATGGGCGGTTCTCAAAGGAGAAGGGGACCAAGAAATGGAGGAGAGGAATAGAGATTTAAAAAAATAAATTGGGATGTGTCATATGCATGTATTAACTTCACATAAGGAATGTAAACACCATGTAGTGCAAACATGTACAAAAAAAGGAAGGAAATTAAGAGATGGGTGGAGAGGGGAGGGAAGGAAGGGAAAATAGATGAAGAAAGGAATTAAGATGTGTAATACACATATGCCTACTTCCCAGAAGGAATGTAAATATATATTACAATCTGTACTACTAAACTAAAATAATTTAAAAATGTAGGCTAGTAAAGGCAATTGAGTCCTATAGCAAATATAAAACCCTTGAAACTTTCTTACTGCTTTAGGTTGATATAAGTCAGAAGACTTTGGGTTGAGGAAAGCCAGGAATATAAAACCCATGATAGGATTCTAAATTACATTTACCAGTTTATGGTTTCCATTAACGTGATCAAAGCTGAACTTTTGCAGGGAAGTTTTCTGAATAACACAAGCAAGCAATTCTACCTTCAGACATTCTCAGATCTACTTGACAGCTTTGGTTGCACAATATCCTGTTTTGTTCAAAGTTAAATTTCACATTTGTACATGTTGATCAGCAAAGCAGTCCTGTATTCCTAGATTTCGTACTAACTCCTGACTGCCCTATGGGGACACTAAAACTGAAGTTTGTAAGGTCTGTTTCTTTTGCCTTCCCTTGAAGGCTCCTATTTCACTAAAATCTATCTCCCACACTTTTCTTGTTTTCCTTTACATAATTTCCCTGTGTGGTCTCGCAGGCTTTTCTAGATGCTGATGATTTCCAACTCTTGACCTAACTTTACTCACGCCCCTCTCCTGAGCTTTAGACCTTTGCAGCCAAATGCAGCCTGGCCATCTTCCCCTACAGGTACCTTTCCCAAACTCATCATGCACATTAGAGAGCTCTTCTCTGCAACATGTACTCTTCTTCCTCCATTCTTATTGTTTTTGTTACTGCTGCCAAGATCCATCCAATAACTCAAGCCAAAAGCTAAGCACGGTGCTATAAAAGCACAGAAGAGACTTCAAAGACAATTGCAATCTGCTATGGGGTAAGAAGGCAGGGAATGATTCCAAGTGACATAAAATAATTATAGAGGCACCAAAATGAGAAAAAGCATAATATGTACATTATTAGTCAGGACAGGATAGACTAGGCTAAGATAACAAAGAAAACTCAATCTCAGTGGCTTTTTTTTCCCCTCCTTTAAAATAAAACAAAATGATGCCAACTGGCCAGCAATCCTGCAACAGAAGAAACTCAAGATGCAGACAGTTTCTATTTTGCAACCCCCTATCTTAAAAGATTTGCATACTGTGTCACAGGGAGGACTTAGAGCCACATGCTGTTTCCTTGAACCAGAAGTGTTATAACTTCTGCTCACTTTTCTGTTATCAAGAATTCAGTCACTTAGTTTGATCCCCAGTACCAAAAGAAACAAAAAGAATTCAGTCACTTACTGGAGGCCAGTCAATCCTCCGATCTACCTAGAGAGGGGGATTTGAGGGCTAAAGAAAGAAAGACAGGGCCAGGGATTTAGCTCAGTGGTTCTGGTGCCTGTCTTGCAAGCGTAAGGACCCAAGTTTGATCCCTGGTACCAAAAAAGAAGACATATTTTGAACTACATGGGAGCTGGGAGATCAGTGCCAAAGTGGGCAAAAGCAAGGACACTCTGAGTTAGCCATTATTTATTGGGTATACATAATAATTAGAGGTAGTACTGGATGACTCAGAGGGCAGGGGCAATCTTATATTGATGAGGGTCCTGGGTTGATGAGGATGGTGAGATGGGCAAAGCATCCTTACAATAGTAGGTGTGATGAGATAGCAGGATAAGAAGGAATTTATCCTTCCCCAAGGCTAAACCTTTCTCTCTCTTTTTTTAAATTACTATTCCATTCTCAAAGAACCAGATGTCTTCAGCTGACACAATCTTGCTCTTGAGCATCACAGCCTCATGGGACCATTGAGGCCATAGCATGTGACCAGAGGTACATGGAGTTACGTTTCCACATACCATAACCCACTTGTGAGTAAGGTGACATTGAGCCTTAGACAGCCCTAATAGTAAATTATGAAATGATTTTCCCCAAAATCACATAGAATGGCTCTCAACAATCACTGTCACAATCTAACTGCAAAAGAAACACAGATGTATCTTCTCATCTACTCAAGAAAGTGAAATGAGGGCCGGGGATTTAGCTCAGTCGTTCGATGGCCTGCCTTGCAAGCGCAAGCACCCAAGTTCAATCCCCGGTACCAAAAAAAAAAAATAGAAAGTGAAATCATCTAGTAAATATATCTCATTTTCTCTACTGCAACATGTTTAGGGAGCCATAAGAAAACTGGCATACCTGGAAACCAATAGGGATTATGGGGCATAAAATGTGGTGCAGAGAGAAGGTGGATAGACAGTGCTAAAAAGACAGTAAATAAAACTGAAGCCACTGACAATCCAGAAGGACTGGGCGGGATCAGGAGCCCGAGTGTAGTATAGTGCTGAGTATAGTATGCCGGCTCAATGGACATTTAAAGATGGAACAGAGCACCAGGTGTGGTGGTGCACACGTGGAATCCCAGCACTTAGGAAGCTGAAACAGGAGAATCACCACAAGTTTGATGCCAGCCAGGGGTATATAGTGAGTTCAAGGCCAGCCTGAACTACATAGGGAGATTCTGTATCAAAACAAAAAGAAAAGGGCAAACACAAGGAGATAAAGTTAAGGGAAAATCTTAACAGTTCAAGCTTCTCAACAGGAAAGTCCCAAATAAAGAGCCAGCTCCTACCCACAAGACCAGCCTGAGTTTCCTAATGTTTTCAGAATCAGTGCAGTTTAGACTAGGATCCGGGACAGACCTTAAACCAAACTAAAAAGCTCACTGTGGTCCTGTGATCGCTGCCTCTGGACACTGTCTCTCCCTTCCCGGCTGCATCCCAGCCCCCTCTGCAGGTAAGCCTCCCTTTCTCTCTGGCTGCAGCCTTCTTCCTTGATTTTGGTGAATGCCGTTTCTTGTTCCTGTCTCTTCTGATAAGGCTCCGCCTACAGCAGTGTGTGCCCCAGCCCCACTTCAACTCTCCTTTGTTCTCAGCCCATCTTCCACCAGGCTCGTCCAATCAAAAGGTAAAATAACAACAACAAGAAGCAATACTAAGTGCTTACTACACACCAGGCACTGTTCAAGCTTTTTATACAGATGGCTTGTTTCACTCTCAGACCAAATCCATGCGGCAGGAGGTATGATCTTCATGTTCATAATGGAGGCAAGAGAGATCTAATTTGCCACATTCATAGAGCTTGCAAGGGGTCAAACCGGAGCTGGAATATCTGGTTTTTAACCACTACGCTATTCTACTAAATAAAGGATGAAGGTAGGGGGACAGAAACAAAATGGCTTCATGATTTTTTTTTTTTAATTAATGTGAGTAGTTGTTTAATCACGGAGAAGAAAGAAGAGGAGATGCCACCACGGATAAAAAGCCTATTATTCACACAGTGGGTATCCGTTTCTTTAAAAGGGTCACACTCCTGGAGAGAACACCCCAGGATTTTTCTCGGTGAATTTTCACTTGCATTGGCAGGGAGATTCAGGCTCTCCGATTGTAGCTTCTAGGCCCCGATTCAGAAAAGCCTTGGCAAAACCCCGCCCCAACAGGCACAATGAAACAGTCTGGAGCCGGCTGGGCGCTGGACGCGCAGTCAGCAGAGCACACAGAATAAGAACTATTTTTCTTTCCGCAGCTGGCGCAAACTTTCCGCGGTTCCCAGCGCCGAGCTTCTGGCCGCAGGCGGGGCCAAGTCTCCGGATGAATATTCATGAGCGCCTGGTGCTCTGCGTTCAGGGTTTCAAAGTCTCTAAAGGGATTGTTAAAACCCAAGGGGCTTCCTCCTAGGGAGTTAGAAGGAAGGAAGGAGCCGGTTTTTTTTGTTTTGTTTTGTTTTGTTTTTCAGGGCTTGCTTTTGAGGACTACAAAGAAGTGGGGGCACAAGGGAAAGGGAAGCTTGTGGTTGCTAATCCAGGAGAAGCCAAGTTTACAAAGTTGCTCCCTGCTCCTTTAGTTTATCAAGCCTTTCAATGTCCCTCCAACACAAACAAGGGCCATTACTGGTGTTTCTCAGACCTCCTTTTCTAGCACTGGTAAGCGGGAAAATAACTAGAACAATGTCTTCTCTAAGAATTAAGTGTTGTCTTCATAAATCTTAAACATCTGCGTTAGCAACCGCACCTCTCACCCACGTTCCTGGGCATGATGTTTTTAATTTTTGTTTGGTTTTGTTTTAAGTGTTTTTGTTTTTGTACTGCAGATTAAACCCAGGGCCTTCACACTGAGCTACACCCACTAGCCTTTTGTATTTTGAGACAAGGTTTCTCTAAATTGCTAAATTGCACAGGCTGGGCTCGAACTTGAAGTCCTGCCTCTGCCTCCTAATGTACTGAGATTATGATTGTGCAACACCATGCCTGGCCTGCTTATGTATTTTAAATTGCACACTTTTTAAATGAATCTAATCTATGATTTTTCCTACCTGTGTCAGTCTATGTTATAGGCTAGCAACTTTTAATTTAGAAATACATATATTCTTATATCCGCTTGAGATATAGTCAGGGGAGTAACCGTATGTATTTGGCTCTCTAATTTTTATTAATGTTACGATATCCCAACATAGGTCTCTGAAAGAGTAGATAAGCCCCAAATGCATTTCACTGATTTATGGGCTTTTTGGTAGATCCACTGTCTGTTGTTGCCATAAAAGTCCACTTTAGAAGTTACTTAACAAAAATTACGGGAAACTTTGCTGAGTGCCTCTATTCCATCAATCTGTTCATTAAGAGAAAGGCTCTATTTCTTACCTACAACCCAGAAATGGAAGAAATAACATTATTGGAAAGAAACTAAATAAAAAAGGAAGTATAGTGTGAAAAGTATTTAGACACCTTAAATGAAGACGGCCTCCTTGTCAGCTAATGAACAAATGTGTAGCTATAAGGGCCTAACCACTGTGAGCAGCCTATGAGATCTTATGGGGCATGGGGTATGGAACAAAAGACATAAACAAATATCCCAGTGGACACGGATTCTAGAAACTATAGACAAATAAATTTTCTCTTAATTCCCAGCAGAATTCTAGGCTGAATAGTTAAGTTGCTAGTGAACACTTTAAGAAGATGATCACTAGTAACCAATGAGAGTTCAGTAGGAACTGGTCAGGCCAAACTTTAGGGGTTTGTTTGTTTATTTTGTTTATTTGTCTGTTTGTTTGTAATGAAGTGATTTGACTTCCTCACATTTCAAAAAATGAACATCTTGCTAAAAGGACAGGCCTATCTCCTCACTGCTTTTTTTTTTTTTTTTTTTTTTTTTTTTT